TAGTTGTAAACACAGACCTGATTGCTACATTATGACCAGTTGTGGACCTCCCATGTCACAAATTTTGATATGTCATGTTTTTAATTTTTATTTGATTCAAAATATTTTCTAATTTATCTTGTGGTTTCTTCTTTAACGTATAGGTTATTTGAAAGTGCATAGACAATGGGCATAGAGAGGAGTGTTGAAATTTGACTATAGTTATGAACTTTTCTATTTCTCCTTTCAGTTATATAAGGTTTTGCCTTATACATAAGTTTATATCTCCTTTTTTAACTGTTGCTCTAAAGTTTATACAATATACATCTACAACTTACAATTTACTTTCAAATATATTCCTCTATATATAGTGTAAGAATCTTACATTAATGAATGAATTAACAAAATAAATTAATGCATTCATGAATGAATTAACAAAATTTAATTGATCTTATGACATTTGCTAGTTAATGCTGAAAAAAAATATATCCCTTAAAGAAGGATCCATTTCTTCGGGGCCTCTGGCGTAAAGGAAAACAAACCCCATGAAAAGGGACAACCCGGGTGTTTGCTTGTTCCTCTGGATGCTCTCATCTCCCCACTGGCCTCACAGAACTTGGATGCTGCCACACGCTTCTCGGAACAATTCCTTCACCTCTTTCTCACAAGTGTCACTGCCGCATAGACTTAAAACCATCTTTATGAGGTGAGTGGGCAGAAATACAATTAAATTATTTATTGTGAGGCACAGCCATATGGCTTGTGTTTAAAGAAACTCAGCTTCTTCCCTTCTGAAAAAGGAGCTCTAAGAAGAGGCTATTCTCTCTCTCTCTCAGAAGGACTTCTTTCCTTGGGAGGATAAAGAAAGAATCATCATTTGCAAAGGATCAGCCTTGTGTCCAGGCTATGCAACGTGGACACAAGGAAAAGGGAAGAAGACCACTCTGTCAGGGAGAAGCCCTTTGCCTCACTTTATCGCCAACCCTCACCCACCCCACCCCTCCTCCTCCCACATAACTCCCTACCTTCCTCCACTTCCTCCCTCTGTCCTTCTCCTCCTCCCAGCCCGCCTGCCATGTGAGAGAGGATATTGGATATCCTTCACAAAGTCACACCCTGAACTCAAAAAAGGTTAGAACAAAAGGAACACAGCTTAGTACATACTTTAACCTTCCCCAACAATGTATTTCATTCATCCAAATCCCAAGCTATGGTTGATGGGAAGAAATGAGACACAGTATAAATAACATAGAACCTTTTAAGAACACAGCTCAGTGGACTTATAGAGAGAAGGAGCAAATCCCTCACCTAGAAATTACATCCACTCCATGGCTATTGCATCATCCAGGAATCCACATTACCATCTGGCCCCACGCCTCTTCTTTTTATCATGGGATAATGTAGATGCCGTAAAACAATCAGCAGCCTTCTCCAGAAGGTTTTGCTTTACACTTCTCCTTACCCTGCTTGTTTGCCATGCCTGGACCTCAGCCCATAACCTATTGGAGAATCAGAAGACCAGGCAAGAAAGAAAGTGACTCTTCCTGAGTTCATGCCTTCACGTGCCAAGAGCTTTCCCCCTTGCATCTTGGTGAGAGTGCCGTGAGTTTACCATAAACAGTCAAGACAGCTATTGCAAAATTACAGGGCAGTAAACTCATAGGTTTATTTATTTGTCCCTGAAAGGATTTAAACCACCTTAATCAGTACTTAATTGCAAATTTCTCATTAGAGGTCTTTTCTCCTTCAGAATACAGCAGAGCCAGTGTTGCTCCTTACAAAGGTAAGTGTTGGGGACAAAGGGAATTTATGACTTGAAAACTTTTCCATACTGAACACAAATGTCATCTCTACTACACCGAGTTCTCTACTACTCCTTCGTTTTATCACACAGGCTCATGATAAGGACAGCAGCCTGATCCTCCCCACAGAGTGATGGAAACAGAATCCACGCAGTGGGCGTGATCATCGGTGGATATCTGAATTGTGGCACAGCACTTCAGCTCTGGCTATTTTTCTCCTGCATGAGTTTTTCAGAAATCTAAATGGCAGCCCCTAAAGGGTAAGAATCATGACTAGTTTAACAATATCTTCCTAGTCCTTACTGTTTTTCATATCGTAAATGCTCAATAAATGATCATTGAGTGAATGAGTGTGTTCAGGCCTTAAATTCACACCCATCTGTGTAGGCCCAACTGCATCTCTCTTATAAAAGCCTGCTGTGCCTTAAAAAGAAAAAAGACTTCTGATCCTTAAAGGGACAAGATAAGATGGCTGCTCTGACCAGCGATGTGAACTTGGGAGGCATTTTAACACTGTGGGTCTCAGTGTCTCCGTGTATAATATGAAGGGGCGGGTTTAGCTGATCTCTTAAATGTGCTTAGGCTTTTAAGTTCTGAACACAAGCAAAACACCACAACATCTTCTAGAAGATCGGTGGGAGAACATTCCCTCCATGAATGTCTCAGCAAGAGCAGGACCGAGTATCTCATTAGCTAAGCCACTGTCATATTTTAGCCCCTAATTTAAAAAACTACTCCACAGAAACCGAAATCAACCAAGTTTTTCTTTTTGCATTCTAGTTTTAGGAGAAAAGGGAAATATGTTTAGGGATAAGCACATCTTCAGATCTTTATTGTACTCAATCTGCTTACATATTCTAGCCCTACGCAGAGAAAACAGGTTGAAAACAATGGCCCCAGAGCACTGAGAATACTTCAGTTATAAAGGGAAGAGTTAAGATTACATAAGTTTATTCTACATTATATTTAAATTAAGAACGTCCGCGATCATGTTAACTTAAAATGACAATAGAGTTCTTAAAATTTCCAAATATGTAAGTTATCTTATTAAAGCAGACTTGGCCAGAGTAAAATTCTAGAGAGCACCCTCTGGTGGCAAAAAATGCAATTGCTGAATAGCAATTTTGTCCTGAAATTGCACAGACTGGACAAATAGTAGCTGCCATTTATTGAGCACTTATTCCATTTCAAGGACCAGCCCAGATGTTTCACAAGGTACTAAGACAAAGGATTTCATAAAGGCAGTTTTCAACGTCATGGAGAGAACTGGAAGTGTTGTATTTCACAGAGCCCAAGCTGTACCTTAAGAGTTGTGTCACTGAGTGTGTTTCCCTACTGTGTCTTCCTGGACGCTGGGGTGGCGTCCAGCCTCAGCACATTCTCCTGCACCTTTATTCCAACTGCTTGGAGTTCTGAGCTGTGGTGGAGACACTCTATAAGTCATATTTCTCTCTTATTTTCAGCTCAGAGCCCCTAATTTCAAGCTGGCAAAATGAAGGGAGACGAGAAAAAAGCAAGCAACACTAAAAAATAAAACAGGGGAAAAAAGGGGAAAAGAAAGAGCCCAGCACCTTATAATTTTCATGAGTCCAATGATCTTTTAATTCAAACAAAATTACTTAACATCCATGATTTGAGAGGCGTTTAATAAACAGCAAAACACTTATTCACACGATTACAAGTTGTATTTTTCAGTGATCCACATCCTCCTCAGATCTTTCGAGTGTCCTATGTGTCTTATATAGTGAATTTCTGTTCTGAGCACCTCATCTGAGAAAACTGGTGCTCACTTCCCAAAAGGGCTTGCTACATATTACCAACACTTGCCACAAAGCGAGACCTGAGGAGACAAATATCTTTGTACATTCTGATCATGAGTGTTCCTTCCTTAGAGAGCCCGGTGTCCCAGCACCCGCGCCAGGGTGACCCCTCCACAGAGGGTGCAGATTCTAATGTGTACCAGCTGATCAGCCCCCGTTCTTAGCAGGCTCTGTGGGCCCAGATCTTCCAACTTTTTAAGGGACATTCGAATGTAGAAGCCTCCTAATTTTTAAATTTTGGAAACTTTGAATGTAAAAAAAAAAGGAAGATCAAACTACGTGTAAAACACTCTCTGAGCTGGATGCGTCCCTCTGGTCGCAGTTTTCTGCCTTTGCCCTTGGGATCTTTGAGGACTGATGTTCAAAGGAGGAGATGCCCTCCTGACCAGATCCTGAGGACTGGGGTGAAGAATTCCAGAAGAGAAGAGTTGCTGGGGGCTCCTGATGTGCTTCACTGTCATTGTCACTGATACCTCGTCAAGGCAAGAAGCACATGCTCTTACTCATTAGTCCCCCTATTTGATACTCTCTCATTATTTGGATATTTCCACCAGTTTCCAAGAACATGAGAGTTTGCAGCGTCTACTGTAAAACACTTTTTTATTCTCTCAGTAGCATCCAGAGTCATGTCTTTTTCTTTGTGGTCATTAAAGCCTGACCTTCAGTAAAACCCACACCAGTTTTCTGGGTTAAGCTATGCTGTGTCTAACAGGGATTCTGAAATCTACAGGAAGACAGAGGCACAGAGACAATGCACAAATTCGAAATGGGACCAGTGCATTGCTGTATTTTCAGCAACATGAGGAGAGGGCTCCTTTCTTAAAAGTCATTTCACATATTTCATAATTAGCTAAGGAAAAGGAAGATGTGACTGGGTTTTCATTTGGGAGTAGATTTGCTCTGGGTCTGTGCAGCTTCAGAGTTTAATTCTCTGCTAATCTGTATAAGTGTAAGTGATGTACCTCAAATAAATTCTACGAGCACTGCCCTCAACCCCATATTTTCTCGACTACAGAGCTGTCTTACATTGATATAGAGCAGGTATAAAGCCACATGTACTTGGATCCCCCGAAGAAAAAAATACATAGTGAAGTTTTGCACTTTCTAAGAGGATAGCTAAGAAGCAAGTGTCTCTGTGTGGAAAAGGGCCTTGGTGACGCTTCAGTAGGAGACCAGGATAGAGACCCTGGGAGGCTGAGAGTAAACACTAAGTGGGCACCACCCAGAATCCCAGGCAAGCTGTCGGAAAACAGGAGGCCGACTATTCTATACACACAGCTGAATTTTAAATGCTACAAGTGCCCGGCTAGCTCAGTCGGGAGAGTGTGAGTCTCTTAATGTTACAAGTTCAGCAGCCTGATGGTTTTCAACAGTATTGTGAGAGCTACGTTCCATTTTCACTTGGTTTCTTTAAAAGATGAATGGAATGAGGGCTTTCCGAGATTTGGGGTAGTCCTCAAACACCTTGAGGTAGAACCTAAAAGACAAGAAAGGAATAATTATAAGTATAATCCAGCAGTGGTCAACAGGTGATGTTTGCTGTGTCTGAAATCCCCATTACAAATCAACCTGCCCTCACCCAGGGCCTGACTCTGCCAGAGGGTCGTTTGTCCACCTTCTGTCATGCTCCTGCCTCCTGTCTCTTATCAGTGTTGAAGCTTCGTGTTGGGAAATAAACAGTAATAGCCAGAGGACAGTGGTGACGGTTGCACAACATTAGGAATGAACCTAATGCCGCTGAATTACTTAAAGTCATTAAAATGGTAAATTTCAGGTAATGAATACTTTACCACAATAAAAAAAATAAGAAATGCAGAAAGAAGTACTCAATGGATTCAGCTGAGAATTACAGGGAACCAGAGACCCCAAAGACCATGTGCAAGGTTAACCCGTGAGAATGGGCAATGTTCCCAGGAAAATACCCCTTCATGAGGCCTGGAAATGCCAAGAAAATTTTACCTTGTATTATGGGTTGAATCGTGTCCGCCCAAAATAGATGCTGAAGTCCTAACCCCCAGTACCTAAGAATGTGATCTTACTTTGGAAACAGGGTCATTGCAGATATAATTTATTAAGCTAAGAGGCACACAGGAGAGAAGGCCACGTGAAGACAGAGCAGAGACTGGAGTGATGCAGCTATAAGCCACAGACACCAAGGTTTGCCGGCCACCACCAGAAACTGGGGAGAGGCAAGGAGGGAGTCTTCCCTAGAGCCATCAGAGAGAGCACAGCCCGCCTACACTTGATTTCAGACTCCTGCCTCCAGAACTGTGAGAGTTGTTTTAAGCCACTCAGTTTGTGGACATCTGTTTCAGCAGCCCTGGAAGACTAACACATCTTGTGAAAAGGCTTTCTCCTTAAGTGACCAGGCTGTCCTCTTAACGAGTTGAAGCTGGCAGCTGTCTAGTAATAATCAAGATGATACACTCTGTTAAAGTACCTTAGTTTGAACTGGGGACAAATAGTGATAATATGTTACAAGAGGTGGCTGGCTTTTGGTGCTATGATTTGAGAGATCTGGTGAGCTGCCTCTCACCCCGTTAGCCCTGTAGAAAAGATGCCCCCTGACCCTCCCTCTGGAGCAGCCCGACATAACAGGATAGGGCCTCAGCTTGGATTTTGTTGTTGCTCCAGCTGGAACCCTCTGGTGAAATTGCTGTCTCTCCCCTGACCAAGCCCAGTTGAGTCCTTGCTTCTCAGGGTCCCTCCAAATGCTGGCTGATGCCCTCTTCTCCCCCACGCCCTCTCTGCCTCTGGTGGGCAACAGACCCTGCCTGAAGTGGGGAGAACTCTTACGCTGACTCTCTTCCAGGCTGGGGACCCTCTGTCACCTTCCCATCAAGTTTAGGAGGTAGCAGGACTAGCTCATGAGGAGAGCTGTTGTTTCATTCATTTCTGACAGGTCTCTGCGTAAATTCCACTCCGAGGAAAAGAACCCATTCTTAGTTTAACCTTTAAAACTATGAACTTAATCATTAGCTGGACTAAAATACCTATGCAGGAGCTTAAGGGGCTCCTTTCAGTCCTGGTTCCAATCCGTTCCCCCTTGACATGTTCTCTCTCTGTCTCCAGTAATCAGGGGCTTTCTCTTTCCTCCAGCCACAGAAGGCATTGGAGAGAAAGGATCTGAAATTCGCATTTAAAGCCTGATAAAAACTTAGTATCTTACCCTTTTTCTTCCAGGGAGACTTTTAGT